ACTCACCTCGGCCTCCCAAAGTGCTGGGATTATAGGCTGAGCCACCGAGCCCGGCCTCCACTGCCTTTCAAATATACACACTCAGTATCTCCCCATACAGTTCTCTTCCAAAATATAGTACTAGTGTTAAAATAGAACCGGCATGTAAGACATATCTTGAACCCAGAAGACACTGAGAAGAAGAAAACAAAGAAGCATTTTCTTGCGTAAATCTCTCACTGACCAGCAGATGGTAAGAAAAAGCATGTTAGCCCCGCAGTGCAATACAGTGGGCATTAAAAAACAAATAAACAAAAAAAACAGAGCTCCTTCCTGTCTGGCATTTTTGTCCAGGTAACCAGAGTTGAAACTCGGGTCCCTGTTAATTGTAAGGGAGCTGCAACCCCCACTCATCCCTCTCGACTCCTTCCCCACTTGCTTAAGTGACGTCTAGTTTCCACTGCCAACACCTGCGTCCTCAAGGTTACATGACCACCAGCACCAGCCTGCTTCTTCAAGGCCAAGTTGCGGGGCAACACGACAAGCACCTGCTTCCTCAGGACTACGTGTGCTACGTACGTGACGACCAGACCCCAGCTAGGGGGTATAAAAGGGATCCAGAAAAACAAAGGGATGCTGGTTTCTCTTTGAAGCCAGTCTCCTAGTTAATACATTCCCTTTTCTTTGCCTAATGACCAGTTTGGTCTCTTGTCTTCTTGCCTTACATTAATGACATAACCAATATCTCCATTACATTAATACCAGCTACAGTCCCATGGGAAAATGTCCCATACTGCTTATTTAAAAAACAAAGAAAGAAAAACTAAGGCCGGTGTTTTTTTTTTCCGAAAAATAAAAAAACTATTATAAAATATTCAAAGTAATTAATAGGATGTTTACAATAAAGTCCACATGTGGCTTTCCAAAGTAGTTTTCTTTTTTATCTATTTTATTTTGAGTTGGAGCCTCACTCTGTCGCCCAGGCTGGAGTGCAGTGGCACATTCACAGCCACCCCAGCATTGATCTGCTGGGTTCTGGCGATCCTTCCGCCTTAGTCTTCCAAGTTAACTGGAACTACAGGGATGCACCACCACGCCCAGATAATTTTTTGATTTATTGTAGAGACAAGGTCTCACCAAGTTGCCCAGGTTGGTCTCGAACCTGTGGACTCAGGAAATCCTCTTGCCTCAGCCTCCCAAAGTGCTGGGATTATAGGCTTGAGACACTGCACCTGGCCACCAAAATATTAATCTTTATCATTTCTAAGCAAGAGAAATATAGGAGATTTGGATTGTTTGCTGTTCAAATATTGAACAACATATATTGCTTTTATGATCAAGACAACAATCATTTTGAAAAATAAAAGTTTTAAATGCTGAAGAATAAAGTGTGCGATCCAAGAACAGTTCTGAGGTTGTAAGAAGCACATTCTCTTTTCGAATGATGGAAAAAAAGGCCTTGCGTGACACAAAATAACCTGATTCCTTTTTAGTGTAGCAAAAACAACTCAAGTTTCAGAGTCAGAAGACCCGGACTTGAATCAGGGTTCTTTCAATTTCTAGATAGGTCACTGAAGCTTTTCTGAAATAAGTCATTGAAGTTTTAAAAGTTCTGACGGCCGGGCGTGGTGGCTCAGCCTGTCATCTCAGCACTTTGGGAGGCCAAGGTGAGAAGATTGCCTGAGCCCGGGGTTTCGAGATCAACCTGAGCAACTTGGTGAGACCTGGTCTCTACAATAAATTACAAAAATTAGCCGGGCTTGGTGGCATGCATCCGTGGTTCTAGCTCCTGGGAAGGTAGAGGCAGAAGGATCACCTGAGCCCAGCAGGTTGAGGCTGCGGTGGCCGTGAACATGCCATTGCACTCCAGCCTGGATGACAGAGTGAGACTCCAACTCAAAAAAATAAAAATAAGCCGGGCTCGGTGGCTCAGCCTGTAATCCTGCGCCTTTGGGAGGCTGAGGTGAGTGGATTGCCGGAGCCCGCGGGGTCGGGACCCGCCTGGGCA